CACATAATCACCCTCCAGCCATGTTCCATGTTAAACACAAAGACACAGAGCTAAGTGGAGTCCATTTGACCACAGAAAGCCCAAAAACCTGACTGTCCTGACAAGACCACCTTGCCAGGGGAGTTATTCMAGGCAAGTCAAAGCCACTTCTGCCAAGGATGAACTCAACTCCTTCTGTGGCTGTGAAGTCAATTCTCTGCTCTGCCACCATCTGTGTGCCTTCAGCCTCACCATCAGAGTACCTAAGAGCACTTCTGACTCCTAAAAAATGCTGTTACATATAACAGAGACTGATCCACAGCCCTCAGGTCAAAGCCAAATGGACACTGAGCCTRCAGAGAGGATGGAGATTTCTGTAACACTTCAAACATTTCTTCCTTCACTCCATTCCTGGTGCTAGAAACTACAAGCAGCTGTAACTTATTTCCCACTGCAAGAATCACTCTGTGCAAAACATCTTGGAAGGGTGTTAAAGCTGTAAGGGAGTGAAACTGCAGAAAACAACACTTTTTTTTTTTTTTTTTGTTCCCTTTGAAGGAAGGCTCCAGGAGGTGCCCTGGTGACCTTGAAGGAACAGGTTTAGATCCCAGTCCCACCATTTTCCTCAGGATGTGTTTGCAGTCTTCTCACCCTCAATGTGCCCATAAAAGACTGAGTAAATGGGTCACCTTTTGCTGGAAAGGCASTTTCCAGCTTTTTCTGACCAGAGAACTTTCCACTGAAAGCTGAGAAGGTACAAAGATTTTTTTTCAGGAAACGAGGGGAAAAATGTAAAGTAGAAAAGGTTTTTATTCTTATTTCCTTACAAAATAGCCTTTAATCAAAAGGCACTCAGCTTTATAATATCCCAATCACAAACTACACTGACATCTTAAGGAGAATGAGAAGATAAAAAAAGCCTTAGGGTATAACAGATAAACAATCACATCAAAAGCAGTACTGTGTTAATGAGATGGCAGCTGCTTTCTTACTTTGAAAAACATAATCTGAAAAAACAGATTTAAAAGAGCAAAGTAACAAGATTAATAGGGGAGACTGAGTGGTTTATAATGTAAGGAAAATCAGAGATCACAAAATTTTCAGGAACTTTCTTATCACACACTGAGAAGAACAGGCACCCTATTCTCTGGTGAGGATATTATATACTCCCTTCTTAGAAAAAGCTTTTGAACCATATGCTATCACTCTAACTTAAGTGAACAGACACTGATTAAAAAAAAAAAGAGAGAATTGTGGGTTTTAGAAAATGCTTGAGAATAGCAAAGTCCATTTGAAGTCTCTCTGGTTATTATGTTTATGTTCACTGTGGTTCACATCCTAAGATGGTGATTCAGCAGAAGTGGAAACAGTTCTTTGAGAATCCCTCTATTCAGCACTGATTCTGCTTTTATCAGTGGGGTTGGCATGGGTGCTGCAAAGGTCACTTTTAGGAGCAAGCAATCAAGAGCTTAAAGCAAAGAATGCACACAGCCAGCAGTTGGACAAAATAACCACAACCCACAAAGTATACATTTGATATGTAATTTCTCAAAATCAATTTAAGTCAGCTCCTACGTATAGGCAGCCTTGGCCTCTCTGTATTAAACATTCACCAGAATTTTTCTGGTTTGTTTAGGGTTCTGTTATGTGTAACATATTGTATTAGAAAGAGGGAACAAAGACAAACAGAAAGCCTTAATAGTTCTTAACAATACCAATGATCCTAAAAGATCAAGTTTTAAGCCAGCAAGACAAACAGATGCTTTACCATAAACCATATTCACTTTTTCACGTGTTTCAGCCTTAAGCACATCTGCAATTCCCAGTATCTAAAAGCCCAAGGAGCAGATCACTGTGCAATGGTGATGGTGGGCAGGAGACTCATCTCCCTCCCTGTGCACAGGTGGATTTCTACCTGTACATGAACAGACTATGCAGTGCATTTTACAATGTCCTCACATGGATTTCTACCTGTACATGAACAGCCTGTGCAGTGCATTTTACAATGTCCTCACATGGATTTCTACCTGTGGATGAACAGATTGTGCAGTCACTCTGCAATGTCCTCAGGTGGATTTCTACCTGTGCATGAACAGACTGTGCAGTGCATTTTACAATGTCCTCAGGTGGATTTCTACCTGTACATGAACAGACTGTGCAGTCACTCTACAATGTCCTCAGGTGGATTTCTGCACATGAACAGACTGTGCATGCAGCAGTGCATTTTACAATGTCCTCAGGTGGATTTCTACTGCACATGAACACACTGTGCATGCAGCAGTGCACTCTACAGTGTCCTCAGGTGGATTTTACCTGTACATGAGCACACTGTGCATGCAGCAGTGCATTTTACAATGTCCTCAGGTGGATTTCTACCTGTACATGAACACACTGTGCATGCAGCAGTCACTCTACAATGTCCTCAGGTGGATTTCTACCTGTACATGAACAGACTGTGCAGTCACTCTACAATGTCCTCACATGGATTTCTACCTGTACATGAACAGACTGTGCAGTCACTCTACAATGTCCTCAGGTGGATTTCTACCTGTACATGAACAGACTGTGCAGTGCATTTTACAATGTCCTCAGGTGGATTTCTACCTGTACCTGAACACACTGTGCATGCAGCAGTGCACTCTACAATGTCCTCAGGTGGATTTCTACCTG